CTAAGCCATGATGCTTTTTACACCATGGGATAGCAGAAACCTAAAATTACATCTGATATTCTTAGTTCAACGAGGCACGATTTCTCAGCTGAGAATATAATTGGCTAACATCAAGCCTACAACACTGGCTGAATCATAAGACCTGAGCTTGTCACATGGCCTAGCCATTCATATTTCCTCCATGACTCCCTGAGGCTGTAAACGCCTCATGTATGAAGTTACTTCTAAAACTTCTAATGTGTTCAACAGATTGCATGGACAGGAAGTGAAAATGGCATGCATATTCACCTCTCTGCTTTTCCACCTTTTTTGGGGAGTAGAGCAAACTGTAGTATAAAACTAAAGAATTTAAAGCAGAGAGCTGGTAGCTTAAAGGCAATATTCCTTGGATGCCTTAACCTTTTGAAGATTTTGGCCTCCTCTTTCTTATTGCTGTTACTTTTTTCGAAAGTGCCAAAATGTGATAACAGCCCAGAGTCTTGCCTCAGAGATATAACATTTCAAAGAAAAAGTATTTTCTATGTTGAAAACTTTGACTCTAATCAGAGAACAAAAATGACCAAAAAAGGGCTGCAGTAGAGAAGTAGCTTCTCTGCAATATTTAACTGGCCCTGAGCCAGGCAACCTCAAAGAGCATGCCTGGCAAAGCCCATTCCCCTTTTGGTACTATGGGCTGTATGTACGCCACGTCTCTGTTTAGGACCCGTGAGCCTGAAGTTCAACATTACAAGTCCCAGAGATGGGCCAGGTACATGATGCTTAGAGGACCATGGCTAGCAGAGTGTGTCTGGTTCCAGTGGTAGTAATAGAAGACAACAGATCCTCATTTGCTATAGAATTGGGTATGGTGGGTACTCTTGGTTCATACCCAGCAGAGGTGGGATACATAATAATGATAAATAAATGAATTATTTATTTGGGAATGGTTTGAAAAAAAAAAGAAATTAGTAACTTGTAACAAGAAAACTCCCCTTGAAAGATCACATCTTAGGGTCCCATAGGAAGAGCCTAAATGAGACACAGCTTTAGGGATGCAACAGAACCAAGGCTGCAGGGAATAAGATTTGGGTTTGAATTCTGGACAAGCCATTTACTAGCTATGATATCCTGGGCAACATGGAAGTGAATATTATTCATCTGTGCAAGTTGCTGGGAAGATTAAATTAGAAGACATCTGAGACAGTGCTGGCATCTTTGTCTTCAGTACACATGGGCAAACTGTCATGTACCCTTGCTCCTTCCTTTCATTTGACTCATCAGAACTAGACTCGATATATGAAAATATCTCTCAATATTCATTTTGTAACAATTAGTTTTGCTGTTTAAGGTCAGCACTGAATGCCTCTTTTTATTATAAGTACTCATGCTTTTATGATATTTTTCAAGGATAAGGTAACCTTATAAACCTTGGATTTTTATACAGTTCTACACCATGAAAATCTTCAAAAATGTAGCTTGGTTTCAGTGGAGGAATGAGTTTTCCTTAGGTTGATTACATATGAGCCTTTTCATTTTAAAGCATTTGAAAATTGACATTGGGTTAAAGTAAGGTTTGCCTCTCCAGGCCCAGCCTTGAGTCAGCCCCCTTTCATTTTTAGGAGAGACTGTCTCTTGGGGTGTCCGTGACTTAGTGATTTTGCCTGATCTGGTATCACAGCTTCCACTCCACAGCCTGGGTGGGGCTGCTGGCTCCATTTACATTGTTTTCCACCATCTCTAAGCCCTTTCCATTCTGCAGAGCTTTGACTGAGGGCTCCTCAGTTCACCAACTGTGTTTGCTGCTCCAGAGTGATACTGCCAGGAAAACGCTTTCAGATCAGCAATTATAATATTGCCACATCACTGACACAGGAAAACACTACTCCAGGATTCTGGAGCAAACCTAAAAGGGCAGAAGATTCCTGGTTCTGTTTCCAGATGAGTCCACTGTTCTTGCATGGGCTTCCAAATTCTAACATTTCAGTACAAATGACAAGTGTTATGGTTAGGCCAAAAAGAAAAAGGAGATTAACTGGAAAACATCATAACTTGTACAATATTGGTTCACTGTACCTGGGTTTCCTTTCTAAATATGCTTTATTTTTTTCATCAAAACCCTTTGTTTCCCAGAAAAAACACATAGTCTTAGATTATTAATATTATATTAATTATAGTAAATGAATATTCATAACAGTAAATAACAAATTATTTTTAGTGGAGGCTTTCATGCTTGGGAAAGAACAGCTTTTAAAATGTTTGATCATTAAGAAAAAGTAGGCATACCCTCAAAATCACTGAATTACTTAATCTAATCCAAGAGCTCTCTTACATTTGTAGAAAAAGGATTGGACTGTGACAGTCACTCTGCCTTTAGATTAACATTGCTTTGAAGATGTGTTGAGGAAGATAAAAAATTTGCTAGATGAAAAAAACCTATCTCTGCTTTCTGCCTCATCTGCTATGAACAATACATTAATGGAATTTTGGCTGGGTCTTTGTATACCAATTGGTTTGAAAAATTAAAGAGTTGAATCCTGTCCTGTGACTTTTCACTAATTTATTTTCTGATAAAACAACGCCCCCTACCCCCAACCCACAATTCTTACACATACCTTACACACAATTTAAAATATAAGAGAGGGGCTAGTTTGATCATCTAGAACACATATCTTTCATATATTTAGAATGAGAATATTGCACGGTCTTTTAAATTAATGAGACAGAGTTTATAAAATACATAATCTTTTAAAAAATTACTAAAAAAATGGTTACCCCTTTAAAAGTCAATCATTAGACCTTCATATAGTTTAATGCTTTCTTTTGAAAAAATAAAAAATAATAATTCAATAAAAATACAAGTTTGATTTGGAAAATGTTAAGAATAAAATGTCCTCAAATTACTTTTAGTAAGAAGCAAGTTGACATTTTCTCCAAATACACTGAAACAGCTTGGGGAAAGCAATCCCAAAATTTAAGGCAACAGTAACTACAGAAAGTGACATCCAAGTTACCAAAACATGAAAATGATTCTGTATTTTATTTACATTTTCATTCTGTCCATTATATCACCCTCCAGAAAGCAGACTTGGTGAATTCCAGGTGGATGGGAAGACTCGACTGCCCTTTCTGCTCCAAGTCCCATAGAAGGGTAAGAAGACTACATCACTTGACTTCTGGCTGACTTTGGAGTCAGTATCATGCCCCTCTCTGGGTTAAGAGGACTCTCAGACACCTGAAAGGCTTTCGGTAGGGGTTCAGATACATTCTCAATGACCTGAGGGGAAGTATAGCTGTTAAGGAAGGCTTGCCTCAGCATGGGGGAATCCAGGCCCCTGCACCCAGCTGGCAGCTGCTTACCCTCAAACTCTCCCCGCATCACTCACTAGCCAAGGGGCTCCTTCAGTTCCCAGAACACTTCATGCTCTTGCCTACCTGAGTGCCCTTGTAAATCCTCTTGCCCCAAATGCCACTTTCCCCAATCTTTGCTAGACCAACACTTCCTTCTGCTTCTGGGCTCAGCATCCAGGAGAATAACATATCTCTTGTTCTATCTTAAAGCTCTCTGTTCTTTTCCTTAATAGTGCTAATCCAATTTGAAATTAAGATAAGCGTATCTATTGGGTTTCTGTCTTCCCCCAGACCATGTGTTCTTTACAAGCTGGGATCATGTCTGTTTTCCTCATTAGTAGATTTCCAGAATTTGAAGAGTGCAGGTACATTGAGGTGGTCCACAAAAATGTGCCAAATTAATGGATGACATAAGGCCAAAAAGAATCTTTCAAATCTATGAATTAAAGGATAAAATCACATTTTCAGGGAATTCACTAATAATAAGTGGCAGTTATGACATGGATTGTATGTGTTAATTTTAGCCCCCCAAATTTTCATTTATTACCTATAATAATCTAGTTTGTTAACTTTATTTTGGGCACTAAAATAGAAAAATGGTCTTAATTTAAGAAAGAAAAACTTCACTAAAAAAGAAGTTTATGTTTATAAATTTGTGGCAAAAACAATTCAATAATTTAGGAAAATCTGTATTTAGGAAATCAAAGAATATCTTAAATGTATCTAATCACAAATTATAAAAAGACAGTCTTCTGTGATGCTATTCAACTTCTAACACAGTAAATCTCTAAAATGAACAACAAAAGGAAAAGTAAATGAAAAAAATGAATAAAGTGGAAGAGTACTAAAATTCTGATTTTAAGTATATGAAAAGTAAATTTACTGAAACAATTGAGCTGTAGCTCTCCTCTGCCTTCTCCTGTACTCTCAAGCAATACGCAAAAGTTAACTGACTTAAGTCAGAAAATCCATAATAATTTGCTTTTCAATAATGCCTTTCATCTCGATTCTGAATGAATATTCTTCAAAGGCCTCCCTCTGTTTTATCAACAGAGAACTGAAAAGCTGACACAGCATTCTGCACTGAGAAAATGCATAAATAGATTCACGGACAATACCAGGTCTCAGCAGGAAAGAAGCCATGATCTCAGCTTCCAGTTCACTGTTCTTAATATCACATTCATTCACTGACTTCTTCATTTATTCATTAAAACTGATTGAGAGTTTGCTACAGGCCAGGCCCTGGGGAACGCCTTGGCAGTGCAATGGTGAGCAAAACAGAGACAATTCCTGGCAGTGCTTTTATAAGGAAGTGGCTGGCTGGTTTCATCAGTACATTTATTTTTGTTCAGTTCTCTGTCAAAGATAGGATTCTCTCTGTCAAAACATCCTCCGTTAAGTAAACTGGTTCTCTTAGTTATTCTGGCAATTTAAACACAGAGTTGTTTTCCTTTATCAAGCAGATTCTTCCTCTTTAACATATTCCTCTACTTCTGATTTTATAGATAAGTGATTACACATTTATTTAAAGGTTCTGTTTCTTCTGGACTATTTGAGACAGCTCCCAGGCTGGTTCACATACTAACTAACTAGTACTAAAGTCTAGTGGTTATGGATTAATGTCATTTACCCTTTTTCGGAAGACAAACCTCAAAAAGTCCAAGAGGCCTTACCTGCCTCCACTGCAACAGTCCGTTCTGAGGCTGGTGATGGGGGTGGAGAAGGAGGCAGATTAGCTGTCTCTTCAGCTGCTAAAGACCAAACAATGGAAAAATAAGATACAACAATTAATCCCATTAGATGTGTAGGCAGTTCTGTCATCTGTAAAAAGGCCTCTCTATGAAATTTAGGGAAAGATCCAATAGTAAGCTGCATGTGACTTATTTTCAGCCCCATGACCTGATTCACATATTTTTGAAAACCTAAAAAGAAAGAAGACCATTTAATATTTAAAAAAATATCATTTTGTCTTCTCCATAAAAATGGATTAGGAATGTCTGCTAAAATACTATCATTAATCCTATTGATTTGTATCTGCTTGTTTGATCAACAAAGTATTTTTATTTCATACTTAAAAAATTTTTATTTTATACAATCTACTATATTCAAATACACCCAGGCAAGCATTTTAGTTTGGTTTTGGCTTGACTGACTGAAAAAAATATTAGAAACTCTGTATTGCTCAACTTCTTGACTTGCAAACAAACGTTACCTTGATCATTCAGTTATCATAAGTGATATGCTTTTTAAACATTTTGTCTACTGAGTCTAATGTCAAAACCTATCTTCTGTCTGTGCTCGCAGAGAAGAAAAGTGAAGCTGTCACAGCCTCAGGCTACTGTCAGACAAACTATAAACCAGTGGGATCTGAGCAGTCCTCGGGCTTGGGGATGACACATGAAGAAGGAGAGAAGAGAAAGGTTCTAAAAGATGCAACTCATTCGCAGTTGACTTTAAGTTTTTCTCTTTGAGACACTTAATGTTTTTTATAACCACTTACACAATCGTAAGGGATTTCCAAAGGAAATATGTATCAGTCAAGGCCAGTGGTAAAATCTATTTAAAAAATGGTGAATTTCAGTTTCATTAAGCAGTTAGTAGAGGACGCTTTGGGATGCTGGGCAACCTTTCTGTGCCTTGAGTCTTTTACATTATATATTTCAAGTTTCAAATTTCAAACGGGGGAGGCTTATTTAAAAAATAGAAGTGAGCTGCAAATAGAAGATTAATGTTTTGATAAAATAATTTTTTCCCTCTCTGTTTTAAAAGAAAAACAATCCTTGATAACCAAAGCATGTTTTATTGAAAATAATAAGAGTATTTTTAATTATTCTGGGAAAGAAGAATTTTTTATTGCTTATATTTTAGTAGACAATTGAAGAAGTACTGCTTAGAAAATCAAATGTTATGGATAATGTCAAATTCTAAGGAAGAAAAATGAATATGTACTATTTTTAGGCTTTAAAAGCCCTATCTTTCTATGGATTAGTTATATGTGTTTGAAATAACACAGGCTGAACCTAAAGGAGTTTTCTTCCTTGTGATTCTGCATGTATACACACAGACTATCTACCTATCTACCTACCTACCTACCTGTCTGTCTGAGAGTAGGGGCAGCAAGCCTCTGGCTGAGTGTGCTTTCCTGGACAAGCACCATTCCATTACCCGCTTGGCTCTGGAAGGCATTTGACTTGTGACCTTGGGAGAGAACGCTGCTATCTCAGTGCCCTCAGAGGCATCAAGACCAGCACCTCAAATGGGATATGAAGTCACTGATGATTCTACCAAAGCCCTGGCTACAGGTTTTGTGCAGCTAGATGAGGACCCAAAGATAATAGCATAGATGGTCATTCACCAAATCCCGTAAAGGTAAACAGTCATCTCTAACTAAACTATTAGTATATTTTCCTTATGACTGGGGACCATGCCATTAAAATACGTTGGTTTTTAAAAATAATAACTATCTATAGTGGTCGAAAAATTAAGGACAATTAAGGAGCAAAGTCTAATTATAAGTTTATCACTGAAGACTACCCAAATACCACAGATGACCCTACTGAGGAGGTGGAGGTAAGTTCCAGTGCATCCCAACAGAGGGCTCTGATGGATGCTGCATGTAAGGATGAGATGCGGATGCGATCTGTCTTTGAAGATCTGTTCCTGCGATTAGGATGCAGCAGATACAGTCCCTGACCTGAGGTTCTTTCACATTTACCTATAGGCAGAGCTGCAAGCTGATCTTTATGCTGAGATTCTTTTTCTTGTTCACCTTTCAGGACCGCTACAGCCTCAGCTGTGACTACTTGAACTATCCTTGCAGACACCTCCTCTGTAATAAATAGGAACAACAAAAAGAAATAAAATGATGAGACATCTAAAACTGTTAGCAAACAGGAAAAGTAATCAAACAGTTTAGGTGACCAGAATTCCATTCTCTGTCTTCCCCCAAAATAAGGATAATAGAATTTATTAAATTGCAGATAAACCAAGAATGCATATATCATGACCAAAAGAAGAAAGAAGAAAGAATAGGAACTGACACTGGAGCTAGGCAGAATGAGAGAAAGATAACCAATTTGTATGGCAGTTTATTTTTAAAAAGTTGTTTATATAAACAATTTAATTTTTTGTACCTAGTGAAGCAAATTCAAAGAAAGAAGAGGTTTCATTTTATATTTAGCTTAATATATGCTTTGTAGTTTTCTAGAAAAATGTCATTAAAGTAAGTTTCTCTGCTGATTTGCAAAAACACCATGATTTAAAACCTAAAAAAGATGCTTCAAAATGTGAATTTCTGATTAAATAGCATTATTCTTCAGGACCAGTGTGAGCAAGCCTGAATAAGAAAAACCTAGGGAGTTAAAATTAGAATGACATACATGGAAATGATGTATCAGATGGTCTCTTTCTAAAGAGCTATGGCTTTTCTAGGTAGCAGATGTTTCAAAGATCTTTAAGGCCATATGATATGTACTTACCTAGTCATGCAATAACTTCATTAAAGAGGGGGCTCTGTCATTAAAATGATCAATCTGTGAGATGCCACATAGCTAATTTTTGGCTTGAAATGGGATCTATCAGAACATGTCAATGCTGATTTTGTCTTACCTAGTCAAAAAAATGTTCAAGAAATGATATTTTACTATGATCAAGCAAAAATGAAAGAAGCCTTTTAATAAAAATATATTCTAGATTAGAAATAAATTCTACAGAATTTAACTTTCACTATCTTTATATAAAAATCTCTACTGCTAGTAAGCGGGTTTAGAAACAAGTTGTATTGGACAAGGTGGGGGTGGGCAGGATTTGTTCTAATAATTTTGGTCAAGATTTTAGAATGAATATTTTATTGAAAATTTTTTTTATTACAGTTATGATCAGAATCTGCACATTCACAAGCAGGTCGGGAGAGATCTGCCTGTGTTTCGCTGGGTCACTTAGATTCTGCCTGCTCTGGAAACTCTTCCTCACCCCACTCAGAATGATAGAGTATAATGCTTAAGAATCAGGCTTTTTGGGTGAGCAATCCACTTCAACAGAATTCATCTGAATTTTAAAGCTGAATTACCTGATTGAGTATGTTTGTCTTTTTAAGATAGCCACTTGACAATGTAAAGTGATACTTTAGTTTCTGCAAAATAATATCATTTGTTTTAAATGGGAAGTAGTAGAATAATTGGATTTTATTGGTTTTATTGTTTCAGAGAAAATTCGTAAGATCTGAATTGCACGGTTGATTAGGAGTTTGTAAGTAAAATAATTTTATATTTGTATATATTTAAGCAAAACTTGTAAGAAAAGTAATTTAACCCAAACCTGGGAGAACTAATCATTTTTTCTTTAAAGGAATTTAACAGATTTCAAGAAGTGCTATTTTAGAATAATCAGGCTGTGTGGGAGCCAAGTTTATGACATACTTATTTTGTAGGGTGGGGGAAATAATATTGTTAAATCTTTCATATAGGAAATAACACATTGCCGAATATTAATTTCAGAGTGAATTTAGAAAAATCCTGAGCATAGGATTACTCTGGGGGTTTCAAGTGGTTCAATCAATTTAAAAGTTTCTTCTAAGCAAGGGCTTGTCATCAGCATAGAGATGGCAACTTCACCCAAGGAGAGATGGTCTTCTCCAAACAGAGGTCTCATCAGCACATCTCCTGGGTGATTCATGCACTTATAGCCTAGGACCTGGGATAGGAGCAAATTCACTCAGCGATTGGGAAAAGTTTAGGGAAGATTAATGGTAAATGCACCAAAAAACACAAAAGCTGAAGACAGTCACAAAATCAGATCCATAAAAATAAAAATGTAAGAGTTATGGTATGTGTACGTGATCATATGCATAATTCCTCATTCTACAAATGTCTATTAAATGCCTCTATTCACACATGCATCCACGCATCCAGCTATCCACCATCTATCCATCATATATTTCCATTAAGGAAATTACTGTCTTTTATAGTATACATTAGAGGAAGTCACATGGACTTTAATTCAGAGAAACATGGTACAAACTCCAGCACGCTGCTTTCTAATAACTTCATCCTAAAAAATTTACTTAAACTCATTGGGTTTCAATACCTCATCCATAAGATGGAAATAATAATAGTGCCTATTATTTTATAATATTGTTAAACCTTTTAACAATTGTTGTTGTGGGAACTCAATTACATTATTATACAATAGGCTTTGCATGTCAAAGAACTCAAATTAAAAGAAGGCCTCCAAATAGTTCTTCACCAGGGTATCTCTATTTTCCCCAGTCATACAATCTTCTGGATCTTCCTGAGTGCTTCTACTTTAAAGAAAGAGCAACAGCAATATGTGTGAAGAAGGGTCCAGCCCAATCAGGTTATTATTATAATTAACACCAGATAATACAGTTAATCCACAGTCATCTATGTTGATGCAGAGATACTATTTTTTTCTAGACAAAGCCAGAGGGAAACAAATACTGTCTTTATATTTATTTTCTGGCTTCATACTCACTTTCCTGGCTGTGTAGGTCCTGTGTTACAATCTGTTCTAGATTCCTGCCAGCAAATCCCAATTGAGGACTGTCTTCTAGACAGTGCTCCAAAAGGCAGGATAACCCCTATCTATTTCTGAGGACAAACAGCAACATGAAAATTTCTTTTGGAGGTAAAAGATTAAACTGTATTTTATTTTTCATTGCTTCTTTTTTCTACCTTCTTATTCCCTTTCCTGTTTTCTACTCTAATTTTAAAAAATTGTTTTCCTCCAAACGTTACTGTGCAAAATCATGAATAGGATGTAGTTGTTCAGAACATTAAATATCTAGATTATACAATAATTGGGAATTATTCACCATATATAATTGAGAGGTAACATCGATCTTCACAGCAGAAAACATTATACTTTTTATTCTAAACAGTAAACTTTGGAAGGCTCAATTATAATTATTTTGAACATTTAAACTTTTCTAGAAGTGGACATTTTTAATTTATTTTAGACTAAATTGTGTTAGTTAAGGAGTATGTGTGATATGTATTTTATTTTCTCTTTTGTTAACATCAGGTTTTCAATGTAATTAACTAGTTTTCACGTTACAGTGAGAAACAATATTCGAATATTAACTTACTATTTTTTCAGCAATGTTGTTATAGTAATGAGACAGTTTCAATAAGTAATACAAAAATATCTCATGATGTGGCTCTAAAATCATGCCATGGCTAAGCAAATGAATCACAATTTGGAACTAATCTGATAAGTAATTTCCCTGTATATCAGTTGGAAGGAAAACATTAAAAGCAACTTTTTAAAAACAAATTCATCTCATAATGGTTAAAAAATGTTATTGATTATAGGTTGATAGAAAATAAAAGATTCAAATATACAACCCAGGTAACACAGCAATAGGTGATAACCGATTAACACTATACAGATAAACATCTAAAGGTAAAATGTGAAGTCTGTCTTGAAAACTTATTCTGGGCAACAGAGACAGGTAACTATTCAGAAAAGAGTATCAAAGCATTCTCTGGCAGATTAATTGAATTCTGGAAGGAAGTAATATTTTTTCTTGGTTTTGGGGAAATAAATTGGTGGAAACATACATAGGAGGTAAATAGGTATAAGAAACTAATTGAGACATGCTCTCATCCACAGAAACCTACTTTATAATTCCCCCAAAACATTATGCTAAGCTGCTTACATTACACTTAAGTTATGAAAAATCATACTGTGATATGATTATTAAACAAGTTATTACATTAGGTACCTTTATTTTCCACCAATATTTTTAATCCATACTATAATACATTTCCCAGATGGGAAAACTGGCAGAATAATGGATAAAGGCAACTTATTGTCCCATTTAGGCATCACTTTGACTTACATCAGTGTAGTAAAAATATTTTATATAATAGTAGGTTCTTGTGTCAGGAAATCTGAAATCAAACCCTGCCTTTCTCTCTTACTAGCCACAAGTGACACAGTCTCTAAATTTCAGATTTCCCATCTGTAAAGAGGGAATGAAAGTGGTATTCATCTTGTGGTTTGTTGTGACAATTAAAAGAAATAATATGACAAGTGCTTATTTAAAGTACCTATCACTGTTTTGATCACTCTTGCTGTCTTATTATCATCTGTCTATGATCATCCTTTTACTGACAAAATATAGGCAAAAACCTGAAAGTTTTTGTCATACATTGAGATGATTCTGCCATTTTGCCAATGAGTAACCTCCTTGCCTGAATTTTGAATCACTACCTAACAGACAATAAATCAGGCTCCTAGCAATAGGTGATAACCGATTAACACTATACAGATAAACATCTAAAGGTAAAATGTGAAGTCTGTCTTGAAAACTTATTCTGGGCAACAGAGACAGGTAACTATTCAGAAAAGAGTATCAAAGCATTCTCTGGCAGATTAATTGAATTCTGGAAGGAAGTAATATTTTTTCTTGGTTTTGGGGAAATAAATTGGTGGAAACATACATAGGAGGTAAATAGGTATAAGAAACTAATTGAGACATGCTCTCATCCACAGAAACCTACTTTATAATTCCCCCAAAACATTATGCTAAGCTGCTTACATTACACTTAAGTTATGAAAAATCATACTGTGATATGATTATTAAACAAGTTATTACATTAGGTACCTTTATTTTCCACCAATATTTTTAATCCATACTATAATACATTTCCCAGATGGGAAAACTGGCAGAATAATGGATAAAGGCAACTTATTGTCCCATTTAGGCATCACTTTGACTTACATCAGTGTAGTAAAAATATTTTATATAATAGTAGGTTCTTGTGTCAGGAAATCTGAAATCAAACCCTGCCTTTCTCTCTTACT